GTGCCAAGTTTGGAAGAAATTGGTGCAGCGGTTACCAAGATATACACATGTAACCATAAGTGGGCGTGGCTACGCCCATTTTCCAAAAATTTATAATATTCTTATTTTTCGTCTAAAACTTATTATAAATATCAATTTTGAGTGAATAATCTCCAGTAGTTACTAAAATATCGCAGTTTTCGTATTTCTGAAAATTACCGTTATATGGGAAGTAGGCGTGGTTATTGAGCGATTTTAAAAATTTTCGGCCATTTGGTATGTTATGCGAAGGTCAACAACTGTGCCAAGTTTGGAAGAAATTGGTGCAGCGGTTACCAAGATATACACATGTAACCATAAGTGGGCGTGGCTACGCCCATTTTCCAAAAATTTATAATATTCTTATTTTTCGTCTAAAAATTATTGTAAATATCAATTTTGAGTGAATTATCTTCAGTAGTTACTAAAATATCGCAGTTTTCGTATTTCTGGAAATTACCGTTATATGGGAAGTGGGCGTGGTTAAAGTCCGATTTCGCCCATTTTAAATTTTTGCTCGAGTTATCGTGTACACGGACGGACGGACAGACGGACAGACGGACGGACAGACAGACATGGCTTAATCGATTTCTTTTTTCATCCTGATCATTTATGTATACATTTGTCTATATCTATCTCGATTCGTTTTGGCTTTACAAACAACCGTTATGTGAACAAAATTAATATACCCTTGTGCACATGTGCGCTCGGGTATAAAAAATACAGAACGAGAAAAAGATCCTCAAGTCGCTCGCCGGCAGCACCTGGGGCAAAACAAAGAAACGTTGCCGGCAACATACAATGCAATTGGTCGGGCGGTTCTAAATTATGCAGCGCCAGTATAGTTGCCGGACTAGTTGGACGCAGTGGACGAAGCTACAGACATGTCAGAATGCCGAAGTCCGGACAGCGGCAGGGAGCCATCTGGTGTCGCCAGAGCATAACCTGCACAGCGAGGCCCAAATGCTCCCATAAGGGATCACAACAAAATGCTCTGTAAGCATTTTCTGGCGGGATGCTACAGAAGTGAACATCGTAACAGGCGCTTGCTAGTAAAGGACCTTCCGCCCAGGTAGTTCAGGGGGCGATTCATTTAAAAATATGCGATCTAGACATACATAGACCAACCACTGGACTCGACGACGTACCGACGAGGGATCACCGACATTCGTAGGGAGTCGGTCGCCAACTGCCAAGACTACCGGCAAATGAATACCCTAATCGGAGCCCAATCATCGTCTGTAGCAGAGACGGAGCTTCAACTACCAAGCCCAGTTACGGCCTGGATACTATAGCCGCCTCAACAGTTACCTGTCCAGACTCGACTCAAATATACCCTATGAGTGTTTGGCATATGGAGGCTCCCCGCACGACACCAACCACTTCCTCAAATGCTAGCTCAATCCCACCTCTCTTCCTTTGGTCCGACTCTATTGAAACAGCCCGTTTCTTAGGCCTACCGTTAGTTGAGTTTGACGACAATGATTGAAAGATGAACCGAGATAAGTAGGGCTTAGTAGTGCCGCTACAACAACAACAGGATTGAAAAGTGGTTTTTCCATTATTTAAGTATGTACGATTAGTAGGTTGCCGTGGTTGTTCTTACAGGAGTTCGCCCTGATCTTGAAAGCTTTCGCAGGGCAACTAACTTTCTAGTAAAATTTTCGGAATTTTTTACTATCGGCCAGCATTACAATAAGCTCCTCATACATATTTATCGTTAATACTATATTTTCGGACGTGGAGCTAAGATTGCTAGCACTAAAATCGCTAAACTGGGGCAGCGCTCTTAAATCTTAAAGATGTTTGGACAGCTCGTCCCACTCGTGCGTCAGGGAAATAAGTTGAATAATCTGAAGTAAATACTCAGAAGCCCATTTTATACCCCTTTGTACCTTGCTTAAACATAGTCACGTAACTATGTATAAACTTTTTGTATGCCTCCAACAAAATTCTTTTGTACACCACTGGACTGCTAATCAAAAATTCTAAAACATAAACTTTTGATTTCATTTAAAACCTGAAAAACACGCATAAAATTATAAGCAGAAAAATTATAGTTATGCAAGTAATAAATATTAGGCAAATATGTACATTATTAGCACATTTTCTGTGGCATAAATTTATTTTTAATTCTGTTTAGAATTCACTATTGCTTGAACACTTAACGAACTTGTCAAACTTGATGTTATACATATTGTATAGAACTATATGTCATAAAATATTATAAATCAGGATAATGAATTAGCGCATATTTATTGCCTTGCCAAACACACAATGTCACGTACTCATATAAACGAACACAGTATTGTAAATGCTAAAAATTTGCACACTAAATAATCGTCCAAGTATGTACATATTAGGGATGCCAATCCCGGGATGCCGGTGTTTTTGACGTCCCGAAAAATTTGAAATTTTGAATTGATAGTAAGTACTTGTTTAAGAATTTGAATTATGATTTCAGTAAAATGCCGTTTTGACTACAATTAACAAAAAGCTTGAAACTGTACATTTAAATTGCAGCGTGAGCCTTTTTTGAAAAAGATGGAGGAGATAGGGGTCATTATCTTCAAATGGCTTATGACTACCTTTTGACAGTTCAGCCTAAAAGTGTTGAGACCGAAAGATGTTTTTCATCAACATGTTTTTGTAAGTAATTACTTCAGGTCAAGATTAAGTGCAAAAGGGCAAAAAAAGGGGTATGTGCTTTTAACCAGACCCACCTACCAACATGTATTTCAACCCGTTGAATCCGAATCTGAGGTCCGTTTGTTTCGTACACCATCCAAATGCTGAGTAAATTGCGAAGAAATTGTAAAAAAATCGAAATTTCTTTAAGGAGTAGAATAAAGATATTTAACTGTTTTTTTTTTAATCATTACTATTTGTATCTAAATTGTGCAGTTTTTAATCTGAATTTTTAGAAAAATTTTAGGTATGCGGCAGGCGGAAAATCCGCTTTTTTGTACTTCTATTTCTAATAATAAAAATTTGGTTCATTATGCTCTGAAAAAAATCTGTACGAAAGATGAAAAATGTTGGCCAATATCTTAGGCTCGCCCAAGTCCATTAAAGTTAAATGTGTTCAAAAAAATTCTAAATTTAATGCTCTACCAAATTATGTAGGACTAAAACTTTCAGAGATAATTTTAATTTTAGTAAAAAAAATGTTGTTGATTTATGTATAGTTGCATTAATTTTTAAAATTCTTTAGTTTTTTTATTTATTTTTATTACATAGCCGATGTACATACATACCCTAAATTTTTCTGAAAATTCAGTTTAAAAGGTTCAAGATTTAGATAAGCATTTTTTTGAATTCTGTATAGAGTTTGAAAGTTTGACTTATGTGGTTTTGATTAAAGCAGAAACTATATTTTTATAAAAACATAGCAAACAAATTTTAACGTGAAAAACATTGCAAATATTTGGCAAAAAACACCATGCACTCACTTTTGATCGCCAGTGTATGCGTTCCCCAATCACATGGTCTTTAAATACAATTTAGACAAGTAAAGAGTATAAGTTCGGGCGAAACAGTACTTTATATACCCGGCACAGGTATCAAATATCGCGTTTCGACTTTCTCTGAACTGCCTTTGCATGATAAGAAGGGGGGTTTCGAAAATGCGCGGCGGACGTTTTTGACATAATGCATATAGCATGTGATCGATAAAGTAGCCGTCGTGCTTAACCGAAGCTTTTACCTCCGATTTGTGCTAATCAGTCATTGAACAACCGGCCCTTAATGATATAACTGAACCTCGATAAGTGGTTACCGAGGTACACCTTTGTAGTTATAAAATGGGCGGAGCTATGCACAATTCCTTAAAGTCTATAGCAGTTATTTATTGTTAGGAGATTGTTGTAACTATTAACTTGGAGTGAATTAGCGTGAAATTTGCCGTTATGCGGGAAGTGGGTGTAGTTTTAGTCCGATTTGAATAATTTTCAACAAATTGCTTTTCCATACCAAGGTTATTAAGTGCACTGAATTTGGTAGAAATTGATAAATCGGTTACCGAGATACACATTTGTGGTCATAAGTGGGCGGCGCCGCGCCCATTATCCAAAAATGTATAACATTAAACTTTTTTGATAGCTGGTTATTGTCATCATCGATCTTAAGTGAATTAGCTCCAGTTATTACTGATTTATCGCAGTTTTCGTGTTTCTGTAAATTACCGTTATATGGTAGGTGGGCGTGGTTATTGCCCGATTTTAAAAATTTTCAACAGATTTCTTAGCTAGATCCTACCCAAGCCTCGTAACGAGTTTGGTAAGAATTGGTGAAGCGGCTACTGAGATACAGCATTTCATCATAAGTAGGCGGGGTCGCGCCCATTTTCCAAAAATTTCATAATAATATTATTTTTAGTACAATTCTACTTCGCATACGCAACAATTTGCATCTAATATTTACTGAAAAATGGCAGGTTTAGGATTTTTTTGAAAATACCCTTATATGGGAAGTGGGCGTGGTTACAGTACCAACCTACCTAGGATAAAGGGCAGCCTGCATACCAAATTTCGTTAAGATATTTAAATTTTTGCTCGAGTCATCGTGTGGACGGACAGACGGACGGACGGACAGACAGACGTGTTTAGTCGACTTCTCTTTTCATTCTGATCATTTATGTATACATTTGTCTATATCTATCTCCATTCCTTTTGTCTGTTACAAACAACCGTTATGCGAACAAAATTAATATACCCTTGTGCACAAGTGCGCTTAAGGTTTGTCTGTATTAATAAATATGTGAGTTTTACAGCCAATTTATCGTAAATTTTCAATAGTTTTATTTCATGGTATGTTTAATTGCATTTAGTTATTGAATTTTTACTTACATTCATAAAAGTTATATCTTAATGTAAAGCCCCGGATAAATACCGGGACTACTTAAAAAATATCCCGAAATCCCGCGATCTTAATTTTCCGCATATTTTGGCATTTCTAGTACATATGTGTGTCAAAGTGCTCACCTCTCAAGGGTCTGCAATTGATGCTTACTCGCTCGCACATATTCCCGGAAGCTCTGTAATAAATATTCCTCAGTTCTTAGTAGATTTTCCAAGCCGGACATAGATGAGAAATAATCGATTTGGGCGTGACATGCGGACAGCAGGAAGGCGGTGATAAGCAGAAGGGTGTGTATTTTCCATCTTATTTTAGACATTTTGTGTGTATGTGAGGAAGTTGATTTTTTTTATTTTTACTTAAATTTTTCTTTTGTCACTTGGATATCTTGAAAGTATATTTTTTAAATATTTTTACAGTTAACTTTTTTGTAAAATATTTTTGGTAATTTTTTGATTAAAAAAAATGTTACGCGTTTCGTTTTATTCTTCTTACACTTGCATTTTTCATACATATGTACATGTGTACCCAAAAATATCACACTTGTCAAAATTGCAATATTAACACTTCTTCATGCTGTTTATCTTGCGACTCGATCCACTACTGCTCCTCGTCAACTAACTGAAAGCCGCCTACGTGCGCGCGTTACTTTGGGAGCGTCTTTAGTTTTTGCTGTTTTACCTATTCGCTTTGTATGAACTTGACAGTGTCGCGTTAGAAATACAACTAGTCTATTGATGAGCCGAGATTCAAGCAAGGCTTCTAACGCGCGTCACCATTGCCGCGTTTTTTTCTCAATATCTTCATTTCATTTATCTTCTTCTGCATATCGTATTAGCAGAGGCATCCACATTCGCATCGTCAGTCACTCTAGGAATAGTGATAAAAATCTAATGGTGTAGCGGTTAATTCAAATTAAATTATTCTACGATGCTCGCGGTGGTTTAACCCGTTAGCATGCGGGATACATACAAAGGGATTTATGTATCCAAAGCAACAGCAGACTTGTACTATGTGTCAAATGACGAGGCGAGCATCGCCAAGAAATGAAGTGAACTAATTAATCCGTTTAATGACAAATCTCGTATTCCAGCAAAGTACTTAGTACTTAGACTTCTACTGGGTCAATGTCGTAACTTAATACGTATGTAAATATGTCGCCTTTATATCAGCTCATTACAAGTTTTATTTAATATAAATTATTTATGTTCGTAAAAGTTTACTTACTACTGCAATGAATGCGGAATGTTAAAACGTTTTTTTTTGTTTAAACGTCAGACCCTTACAACACGATAGTGTACGCTCATGCGCTGCTGATAACGATATTTTTGTTTTAATAGATGAAAAAAAAATTTCACATATATATGTATTTATTTCAGTTCTGAATATTATGAGCTTTTAATTAAATGTCAACTGAAATTGAAGGCGTTAAATTGCAATAAAACAACCAGCAGCGAAAGCGGCTATTCAACGGAAGGCGGCGCGCGAACATAGGGAAGTGGATGCACGTGTATGCACATAAGGAAGAATCGTTTTACATTGAACCAAAAACAATTTTATTTAAAAATACTTACATATGACCTTATTCATAAAAATCAGGGATCGTAACAGTTACAACTTTTATTAAAAAAATCGCTCTTTAACAATTATTTTTTTCTTTCATTTAATTACTCCTTAAATAACCGATATTTCTGACTATTATTTTATAAATCCAAAATAACAATTATTCTTGATTTTTATCTAATTAATCTGTAAATAACAGTTATTTTTGATTTTTAAATTATATGTCTTATATAACCGTTATCGAAGACTTTTATTTATAAAAGCCATAAATAAAGAACAGTCACTGACCTTTATTTTTTAAATCACACATATAAAAGTGATTTGTATAAGTCGTAGTAAACTTTTGTTTTCCAACAACTTCTTAACTGCGAAAAATGTTAATGACTTTTATACGAATGATTTAAATATAATAGTCGGTGACTGATTTATATTGATGACTTTTAAAAGTAAAAGTTACTGACTGATTTTTATTGATGACTTTTATAAATAAAAGCCTTCAATAACTGTTATCTAAGACATATAATATAATAATCAAAAATAATTATTACTTTGGATTTATTATATAAAAATCAAAAATAATTGTTATTTTTTTAAATTTCGTATAAAAATTGCAAATACAAATTTATTTTCAAATTTGAGTCTCAGTGAAAAATGAAGTCGATTGGTATGTATCACTTAGTTGTATAACGTTTCCTTCATTCCTTTATAGTGAATTTTTCCATGACAGTTTTCCTTGACTGCGGGTTTTAGGTTTTTATATAAAATGCTCGATAAAACTTTATAGCAGACGCTTAGAAGGCTGATCTCGGGAAAGTTGTTCTTTTGGGTTCGCAGAAAAATCCGAGCATTCCATAGGCAGCTTGTAATTGTGAAACCTTGTGCTGGAGTTTCTGGCTACGACAGAGCCGATCAGCGTCAGCCCTGGAATCGCCAAGCACGGTTTTGATATGGTGACGGGGATAGCGACCGTAATCGGGTTCCGCGCGCTTATTGAAGAGTTCATACTTCTCTTCCGTTGCTTATATGCGCGAAATTCGTTCACCGGAATGAACGACAGTACTCAGCGGCGAAGTTTTACTCTCATCACAAACCCGATAGCGAATTCGCGCCCCTATGCATGGCAGCTGTAGTATACGGCGAGAGGTCGAAAACATTCCTTGCTTTGCCCATTAACGGTCCAGATATTCCAAGTGCATGTCTTAAAGTCATCGTAGTGCCGTAGATAAGAGTGCCACCTATAACTACTGGCGGACCGAGAGATGCCTGGTCTGATCCTTTCCTAACCAAATGGGCAGATTTCTCATTACCAGCTAGTCCTGAGTGATCTAGCGCCCAAAGTAGAACAAGTACGTTATGTTTTCCAACATAATTTAGTCGAGACTTGCATTAGAAAACTAGTTTGGAAGTAGTTGGAGAACTGGTTGCCGTTATTGTTGTTGTTGTTGTAACTGAATCCAAATTCCCCAGAGTTTTCGGGGATTGTAGCTGGAGTGACAGTGCTTGGCCAGATTTAAATCTGTGTAGTTCCCGTTACGTGAACCCGACTGTCGTTAGAGCTGGTCAATACCTTAAGTGCAACTTGTTAGTCATAATGTATGTGTATGTGTATTTTCCACAACTTAGCCCATGGCCTTGAGGATGGAAAGTACCAAAGCATTTTCTCCAAGAGAGAAGTGAAGATTGTTGCCAGTTTTGAAGCCATCAGTAGAGAGTCTACAGTGTGCAAATCTGGGTTCAGTATCGAGGTTAAGTCAGCACTTAGCATTACGGAACTCAATATTGTATTATCTCCTTAGCAAAAGCTACGGTGGCGTACTATCCATGGCATTTAAAAGACATTGAGGTTTCCCTTCAGCAAATTCAGCTTCACTCCAACCTGTACCATAGCAGTACCTATTTCTTTAAAGCTTAAAGTTGGTCATTTTCGTTGTTGGTGTTTCCGACAGGGTAGGAGTGTGATTAA